ATAGTCGGCTCCGCTTGCACAACCTTAAATATTTATTCACTAATCCTAATGTGTTAAATTAAATTTAATATTTTTCTAAAATAATAGATTGTTTCCACCTCTACATACATTTGCCATTGATATGAGCTCTCGATGCTTTCACCCAAAAATATGTTTTTATCAAATGATTAAACCCTAAACCCTAAATTTATAAAAATATCAAAAACATTATAGTCGGCTCCGCTTGCACAACCTTAAATATTTATTCACTAATCCTAATGTGTTAAATTAAATTTAATATTTTTTCTAAAATAATAGATTGTTTCCACCCCTACATACATTTGCCACTGATATGAGCTCTCGATGCTTTCACCCAAAAGTGTGTTTTTATTGAATGATTTAAACTTAATCAATAACTTCTAGTGAAAAATTTATTGAGGTTTAAGATTGTTTTTGGCTGGTACTCGACAACTATAAATGGTTGATGATGGCAGATGACGTTCGAATTTTAAATTTAAAACTTTTAAAAAATTAATTTAATTGTTAAAAAGAGGAGGAAAAAAGAAACATAAGAAAAATATATTTAATTGATTTTATATTTTTAATTCTTTCATTTATTTAAGAAATTTAGTATTTCGTCCAACTAATATTGATATTAATTAACATACAATTTGATACATGATTGTAAGTTAGCTAATAAATATTAAATATATTGATTTAGAGATGTAATAAATAGTAGCCATACATAGGGGTGAGCAAAACTCGACTCAACTCGAAAAATAAAAAAACATTAATTTCATGTTATTCGAGTTGAGTTATTCGAGTCAACTTGAATTATAAATTCGGTTTTCAAGTTCGAGTCGAGTTGAAATTTTGAATTTTCAAGTTATACATGGTTTTGTTTAGTGCAAGAGGTTGGAGAAGATTTCGAAGCTAAGGGGAAGGAAAAGTCTACTTTGGGTTGAGTCTGACGTTTCCAACAATATAGCATCAAAGGTAACTCACTCTTGACTCAACTATACCTTATGTAAGTCATTTAGATAAAATGTAGTAGGTTGCATAAGCTTGAAGCATTCTCATGGTAGATTTCATGTTTTAGAGTTATAAACATGTCTAAGGCCCTATTTATGCTCCTTTGTATCTTCATAAAACTTTAATAATGTAAGTTATTAATTAACATACAATTTGATACATGATTGTAAGTTAGCTAATAAATATTAAATATATTGATTTAGAGATGTAATAAATAGTACCATACATAGGGGTGAGCAAACTCGACTCAACTCAAAAAATAAAAAAAACATTAATTTCATGTTATTCGAGTCGAGTTATTCAAGTAAACTTGAATTATAAAATCGGTTTTTGAGTTTGAGTCGAGTTGAAATTTTGAATTTTGAATTTTCAAGTTATACATGGTTTTGTTTAGTGCAAGAGGTTGGAGAAGATTTCAAAGCTAAGGGGAAGGAAAAGTCTACTTTGGGATGAGTCTTTGACGTTTCCAACAATATAGCATCAAAGGTAACTCACTCTTGACTCAACTATACCTTATGTAAGTCATTTAGATAAAATGTAGTAGGTTGCATAAGCTTGCAGCATTCTCATGGTAGATTTCATGTTTTAGAGTTATAAACATGTCTAAGGCCCTATTTATGCTCCTTTGTATCTTCATAAAACATTAATAATGTTTGGGAACCTCACTAAGGTCTTTGGGATAGTAGAATATGAGTTTTTGCACCTATTTTATGATCTCTGCAGGTTGAGTTGCGATACTTGAGGGATAATATCGAAACTTGTTCTTCTTCTTGGGCAAACTCATGAGTTTCTAGCAAGAGTATCGATAATTTGGGTCATAGTTTCGAAACTCCTAGAAAGTTTTGAAACTAGGCATAACAGAATGTTTAAAAGTATCGGTACATATATAAATTAAACTCGAGGTACCCCAACACTTCAATATATCTTCAATAAGACTTCAAGCGAGAACAATAATAATATCATAACAATAGAAACCGAAATAGATAGGTTTATATAAAACTAGCATTGGTTGATGCTCAGAAAACAATCAGGACACCCGAGTTCCCTTTTACCATAAATACGACAGTCAGTGGATCCAAGTAAGTGCCACGACACTATAGCAGCCAATTAGGCGTAGATGACCCAAGACTCAACGTAGTAAGTCGATGGGTATCAGTTTCGATGCAAAATTTCGGATCTCACCCAGGAGTAATCGATGGTGCTTCGGAAGTCCTAAAGGGGTGCATGAGCTCTAAGATGCAAAATCCCTTAGCTGCACCATGATGCAAGCCACAGATTAACAACTTAGTAGTTGTATACTCAGACTTGTGCCACTTGCCATTTCATTTAGTGAATGCATATAGTATAGTATAGTACATTTTAGTGAGGTACTGAGCTCGTAAGCTCAGTGTTCGGAATGTGTTTTCGTGCAGGTTCTTAGGGAAAATTGTGGGGAGCTATCGTCATCAATATTCCAATGCAACATAGTAGATTTCCAGAGAATGCATGTAATGTTATGGACCTTGTTATGTATTCAGTTGTAACTCTTTTGAAACTCATTATTTTGTGTTATTTTGCAAATGTATTTTGATAGCACCCCATTATTTGTAAACCCGGTTTATTATCATGTTTTTATATTACATTATAAATGTCTACATTTCAGAGATTTACAAGCATATTTGAAAGAAAATTTTGGGTCACTATTTCGGTAGTCCAGTGTAACATTATAATCCATGAATCTTCGTGTCTAACTTGATTAGGGTGTTACAATTAATTTTTAGTTTGACCATTAAACTTTAGATAAGATATTAATTTAATTTATTAATCCGATCAAAATCTCTCGTGACCATCTCTCGTAAACCACCGTTATCGATCATTACCAATTGCAATTACCACGGTTCTCGCCTCTACACTAGAAAAAGAATTAAACCAGCTCGAATTAGCCATACCCATAGCCCTATTCAACGTTTTTGAGACCAAATGATCAGTACCTTGCCCTTTCTCCCACGTGAAAAGATGGCCCCCACTAAGCAACATCTTATGAATCGCAATCCTCTAGTGCACAGCTAAAACCTTCAATCAAGTAATTTGGATGAATTGACTTTCCTTCCTCATTATTGCTAGCAAGGTCATTGAAATCACCCATGAACATCCAAGGACCTTGTCACCATCCATTATAGGCCTTCCTTCACATGCAGAAGCCCGAGTGCGTTATCCTCTTGGCCTAAGCCAATATCTGATCTAGATCCATTATGATTAGACGTTGGTTGACCTCTCACCGCCTTTCCTTTATGACCTCTTAAATTTATCTTCGATGAACTTGTTAAATAATCTTTGTTAAAAATGAACGTCATATTTTTTAAATAATATGAATTTGAGCAACTACATTTTTAAGGTACCTACTATTCGAGAAAAAAAATTATCCTCAATGAAAAGGAAATTTACTAATTTTATTTTTGTTTGTAAATTTATCATCATTATCCCATGATCACTAGTGATATGTATAACACAAACTGGTTAGTTTGTTTTTTGCTCATCGATCAACTAATCCCGTGATTTCGTAGCTGTAAACCCTAAATCTTTGAAACCCATATTTAGAAAAAAAGAAATCAAACATTGGTTCTAAATTAATATACCCAAAGCTGTCCAGTCAACAGATTACAGACTTATCTGGTAAATTCCAACCTGTTATCACTTTTCTTTCCCCGATCATCACCTCAAAGCTATATTAAACCCTCAACCTCCATTGTTCTCTCATTCATCAAAGAACTCTAAATCCCAAAAAGAAGAAGAAGAAGAAGAAGCTATGAGTTTCAACTGCTTGACCCTTAAAAGAACCGTCTCGATCAATGAGAGGGATCATTTTGGCCATAAACAAAAGCCGAGCGTGACATTTTGTTGTGCAAGTAGAGCGTGGTCTGGGAACTACGAGCAAATGAGTAGTGAGTCGATGTCGAAGAAGACTAAGAAGGGTCACGGAGGGCGGAACACCATCGACACCACGTACGAATCCAAGGGTTTCAACGCCAACTCTGAGCCGAGGCTGGTGAGGAGCTGTGGGCTGAGGAGGGATTGGAGCTTTGAGGATTTGAGGAAAGAGATGACGACCGTACGTAATTGACATTATTATTGCATCCATGCATGGCTCTAGGGTTTTAACTTTTAATCAACGCTTTCATTTCTTTACTTCTTTAATGTAATTCGTATCTTTAAATTTCTTACTTTTATTTATTATTATGAACATTACGTTGGTAATTAACAACATGTAATAATTTAATTCTTGAAAAATAAATTTATAATTAAAAATAATCACCATGCATAAACTATACAACTTGTATAGTTTATTAAATCATTATTCAAGAAATTGAAAATAATAGAACATTTCATTAGGTAAAATAAAATGACAATAACATAATTATAAAAATGTCAAATTTACTTGAAGTATTATCGAGGATGAAAAATATAAATTTGTAATATTTGTAAAAGGTACAACATAACAAAAATGTTTTATTAAAAAAATAAAAGCTATCAGAAATTATACAAAATATATTATGAATTATAAAATAAAAAATCGTATATATATATAATATTATAAAATTTTCCAAAACAATGATATATTCTAGTTAATGTTAATAATAATAATCCCTAGAAATAGGTTGAACCATCGAAACAAATAAAGTTGAGGTGGAGGAAATATGTACTATGTTAATAACCGCCACTTGACCACCAAACTCCGCGGAAGCTCCGCCTCTACGCAACGCCCCTTTCCCGCCACCACGTTTCCTCCAATACCTTAATTCAAGGCCCTTTACATCAATGTTTTAGACATTAAGAAGGATACGATCGTCATTTTCAGATAAATTTGTTTGCATTTATACGTTGTTTGTCGCCAATACTAAAAGCCTTGCCCGAGAAGAAGAAGAAAGAAGAGAAGAGAGGAGACGACGATATAGCTCCTCTTCATAGCAAACATTCTCTTCTTCAGATAATAAAATTACGCCAGTTTTCTTTTATCTAAAAAATTAATTAATTTAAAAAAAACTGCAATGCCGTCCTCCGATTACCTGAGCGACAAGAACGCTGTTTTCAGAAAGCTGAAAGCAAAATCTGATAACAAGGTTTGTTTGTTTTTAAAATTATGTTTTTAGATCTGATTCCTCTCTGGAAATTTAGTGATTCGATCTCTGTTTTTTGTATCGTTTTTGTTATTATGTAGATGTGTTTTGATTGCAATGCGAGGAATCCAACATGGGCGTCGGTGACGTACGGGATCTTTCTCTGCATTGATTGCTCTGCCGTTCATCGGAGTCTTGGTGTCCATGTCAGCTTTGTTAGGTATTGGCCTCTTTGTTTTTCTTCTTAAATATGACTGTCGTTTTCTTTTATTTGTTTTTGTGTTTTAGTTTTGTGATCCGAGTTCTCAATAATGTGTTTTGCGCTATGATTCATCTTTTCATAAGGAAACTGAACTATCTGCTGTTGACATTTATAAATTGAATATACGAAAGGTTTGATTTAGCAGATTATTATTATTGGCGGGGATCTCCAGAAGATGGAATCGCCAAATGAATGATGTTGAGAAAATTTGGTTCATTTTACAGTTAATGTTATTTTTACAAGAGCCACAACCCAAATATGATATATTCTATATTCTTTCTATGAGGTCTACATTTTGTTTTCAAATATGTATCCCCTAATTTTTTGTGTGATGTGTGAGATTCGTTCATATTTATAATGATGGTTTGCATTTGACACGAATCCTGATATGAAATATCCTCTTTTGTGTGTGTTTTTGTATGAATGTCACAGATTAATTATCTGATATAATATTCATATTAGATAAGAGGCTACCATGATAGTATTTCTTCTTGTGAAACATGTTCATTAGTGAAGACTTGTGACTTGAGAATCTTATGATGTCGATACTCTCATACAATGTCCCTGCTATTTCTTGTATTCGGAGTCGGTGTTCCTCTATTCTTGTTCTAAAAAGCATTTATATTTTATGCAGGTCTACAAATTTAGATTCATGGTCTCTTGAACAATTGAAAATGATGATCCATGGAGGAAACAACCGTGCACAAGTTTTCTTTAAGCAGCATGGATGGACTGATGGCGGCAAAATTGAGTCCAAATATACTTCAAGAGCTGCCGAGTTATATAGGCAAACACTATCGAAGGAAGTCAGTAAAAGCATGGCAGAAGAGGCGAGTTTGCCATCATCACCTGTTGCCTCTCAGTCATCACAATCATCCAATGGACTTATTGATAGCAAGACTGATGAAGCTCCTAAAGAAAATTCTTTAGACAGGCTAGAAAAAACAGAAGTCTCTGCTACGCAAAAGTTTTCTCGTACAACTGGTACAAGCACTGTCAAGAAGCCTCTTGGTGCAAAGAAGAGTGGCAAGACTGGGGGCCTTGGCGCCCGAAGGCTTGCTTCTAAGGTATTCACATAGACTAATCTATCATGAGCAATGCAATTACCAGAATGATTATGAGGATATATCAATCATAACAGTTACTAATTTTTTGGAATTATTTTCAGTGCCTTCTCCTCTTTATGACATTATTTTAATTGCAGTCGAGTGAAAATCTCTATGACCAGAAGCCTGAAGATCCCGTTGTCCCTTCTGCTTCCTTAACGAAAAACACTGAACCACCAATTGGCTCATCTTTTCCATCGCGTTTTGAGTACGTAGAAAATGGTCAATCTACTGAGTTGAATTCTGGTGGCCCACAAGTGCTTAGCCACGTTGCTCCTCCAAAGTCATCTAGCCTCTTTTCTGATTTTGGAATGGACAGCGGATTTCAGAAGAAATCAAGTTCAAATTCCTCGAAAGTGAAAGTAAGTAATTTGCCCCTGTCAAAGACCTAGAACTTGCATACTTTGTGTATAGACGCAGAATAGTTTGATGGAAAGTCTCTTTCTGGTTTTAGAACATATGGCTCTTCTGTTTGATTCTTCATATCACTCAAGGTCATTTGCAAAACTTGCAATCCTGGAGATGTTTACAACTTTCATATTGTGGATGTTTGACATCAAGGGATTGAACTCGGTATATAATTCTGGTTATTTTTTCAGCTAAAGTGAACTTATATTATCCTTGAAAATCAAATTTCAGTACATGACTTTTTTAAGTTTGCTGTGTTTCTTATTGCTTATTTTTTTTTATCCCAGATTAGGGAAACTGATGAAGCTAGGAAAAAGTTCTCGAATGCAAAATCTATTTCATCAGTTCAATTTTTTGGTGATCACACCAGAGCAGCAGATGATGAAACTCAAGCTACTTTGCAGAAATTCTCTGTATGTATACTGGCTTTTCCTTCCTTGAAAGTGCTCAGACAACCGTATTACTTTATTTTGAATTTCTACGACCAATCTATAATGTGTGCTTTCTCTTAGTTCTAGTGTAAAAGCACTTATATATGGTCAGGAAAACAAAAGAAATTGCTAGTGCTTGTTTAATCATCTTTAACTAAAATATATAGGCCTACTGGAAGTAGTGAGTAATCCATTTATCAGTTAAGTGGCTTTGAGAGCTGTAATAAGTCAACATCTACGTTTGAAATGTGGCTCCTGAGATGAATAGCCATATTTTTTTTCCATTTTGCAGCGTTCAGCATCCATATCCAGTGCTGATTTATTTGGTAAAGGTGCAGATCTTGACCTCTCCACAAGGGACCTCATCAACCGGCTATCTTTCCAGGTCTGCTGTCTAAATTGCATCGTTTCTCGTCACCTTGTGTGCGTGTGTTCTGTTTCCTCCAGTGCATATGATATATCGGAATTTATCTTTCCTTTGTTTTGTTAAGTTGAATTAGTAATTCTTTTATCATTTATGTTTCAGGCACAACACGATATCTCGAACCTGAAGAACATCGCGGGGGAGACCGGAAGGAAACTTAGCTCCTTTGCATCCACTTTCATGTCCGATCTGCAGGACAGAATCCTCTGATGTATTGTTCTGGGTCTGAATATACTCATGATTTTGTGGTTTTCATATGGCCAACCGATGGTGAAAGTACTGCAAAGCGGTTTCATCATATTATAACAAATTTTCCCCTGAGACGTATACGTATATTGTAGTATTTGAATAATTACTTAAACAACTCAACTTTTGTTCAATAGCTTAATGGGCAAGTACTTAACCAAGTTAACAAAGTCACCCGCCATTTCATACTTTTCCAAATCAAATATAAAAAAAAATTCATTACGTGTTGCTTAAGAATCGTCACATATTGGTCTTTAAACGTGTTTACAAGGAACCTTTTCCCTACCTTTTCTCTTCAGATACTGACCCTCTCCCCATAGTACTATCTTCCTTTTCATTACTTCCCGACGTAAAGATCCAAAGGCATCAAACTTTTTAAAGTCCAATAATGCGTCAAACACCATATAAAAACTGCATAACATGGATGGTTTCATATACGATTTGGTTGTCATTATCAGATTCCTATGAGGATAGAAACAATATATGTGGCAAAGTCATAAAAAAAAGTGGGAACAAAGCTATTGATCAATATCATCATTCCATTGTTCGTGTATAATGCTTATGCTTTTTCATAACGACAAAAAAGAAAAAAGAGCCCTAATTGTAAAGGTAAGTTTTTTTTTTTATACATGTTGGCACTTGTAAGAACAGACCAGTACTCTCTCCCAAAAGTTGTTTTGGTTTTAATGGATTAGGTAAGGTTCTTTTAGCTTTAGTTATTGTCCAATATACTGAATTGTCACGGCTAATTTTAATTTATTTTATTGAGTCTTTTTACTCCCATTAGGGTTTTCTTTCAGGCACATATTCGTTTCCAATTTTCATTCCTTTATAGTTTATAGTAGGGTTTTGTCCTTTCTGTTGTTGTTGTTGCCTTGTGATGTTTTTCCATTTCCATAATAATTTAACTCTCTCCCACTCCTCGTTGAATACGAGAACCAAAGTAGTGGAAAGACAAATAGCATTTGGACTCTTTTATCAGCTAAGCTCGGTGTAACTTTTATGAAAAGAGACATAAATTACCAGCAGTAATCGAAAGTCACGTCGTTTAATTAAGAGAGATTTTTCGTTATTACATAGCCAATATAAAATATGTGAATTAAGAACTCATACATAATATTTATATAATATATGATTCGAACCTAATATACATGCAATGTGATCAATGCATTTCGACCTGTCTAAGCTTCATGTTTTGGAGGTCCTAATTCGACAAAATGGACTGTCAAACATGATTGCAATATTTTTGCTCAAATTTTCTTTAAGCCATGGTATTAAGGAGATCAAGCTTAGAAACTAAATCACCACAGATCCAAAAATGCTTTAAACCTTACTTTAAAAGTTACAAAAAATGGATTGAGCAAAAACAAAGAGAAACTTCCACGCTTTTCCTAAAAGGATTTTGGAATTTAATCTAATCTTGGTATTGCAAGCATTCGACTTTTCGTTGTTACGAAAAAGAAAGATCGACAGAAGCTGATTGGCCAGCGTGGCCATGAAAATCATGCCACCACCTTTGCAACTTGCTCCACCCTTGGATATTTCTTCTTCCTACGTTTCAAAATTTATATAAAGATTTTGTTTTTACTAAGAAATTGAATAATAATTCTCACTAAAGAAAAGCTTATTATTTAAACCACTAATAAGTTAAATTCGTTACGTGTCCTTAGTGGCTAAAAGCTTATTATATTATAATCATCTCAGACTATTCGAAGAAAATCAATAATAATAGGTTTGATAGAATATAATTGCATTTTTAGGGGGGTTTCCTTAGAAATTAGTCTTTATATTGATTATGTCATGCATACTATCTTCATAAAAAAATATAAAAGATGACGTAATTTACAATTGAAATAAAAAATTAAAATAATATTAACAATGGCCAAGCCAAAGTCAAGCCGTTGATGTGATGACATGGCACAATATCATCAAACGAGTATCAAATTTGGACGGCAACCCAAAAGTCCGTACAACAACCAAAAACAGACGGTGCTTAAAAACGACGTAGCATCATGAAACTGCGCCATCCTTTTCTCTCTCTCTCTCTCCTTCTAGTCGTGAATGGTGTGCCGTGTTGGCTGAGCTCAAACCACGTGCCATTGACTTATATAGTCAAGGGCAGCGATCTCGGTCAACCCAATTGTAAATAAAATATATAAAAATACATCCAGAAAGTGTTGAAGAACTGTACATATTTCTTACTACTATAATTTTAACATTTTAATATATATTCTAAAAAATTCACATATATATAACATAATCAAGTTACACTATATAAAATTAATAAGTTTAATATTAATTTATATTTATAATAATTAGATTTAAATAAATCAATGAGTTGATTTAATTAAAATTTATAATTCATAAATAAACATTTTTAACTCATAGTAAAACGATATTTCTTCTCACCCTAATCCCAAATCTCAAATCCTAACATCTAAACCCTAATCCCCACATCCCAAATCATATCCTATACCCCAAATCTTTATTTATGAACCCTAAACCCTAAATCATAAATTTTAACCCTAAAAAGAAAAATATTTTTAATGTGAGTTAATATTCCTTATAAATTTTGATTAAATCTAAGTCATTTAGTTATTTAAATCTAATGGCTATAAATCAATGTAAAACTTATTAATTTTACATAGTGTAAATCCTAACCCTATATATGTGTGTGTGTTATGACACCTAGTGTAAAACTAAATTTTTTATATCATTTTAAGACTGTTGGATGATGAAAAATCAAAGACTGAGATTAACTCATTATTTTTTAATAAGTATTTTTTTAAATTTTTTTACTATCAATCTCATATTTTGATTTTCTATTATCTAAGGATTATATATATATATATACACACACCGAAGACTTTTTGATGATAAAGCGTGGAGGGTAATTTACTGATTTAATTTGAATCAAATAAAGAGAAGAAGCAAGTTGTTTTTTTGTTGTCTTGTGTTTTTTCACCTAAAAGAAAAGCTTGCTTTGCTGGACTTGCTTTCATATTTCATTCAAAGGATAATTATTGGGAGCTGCCTTTCTTGTCTACAACAATAATAGCAATAATTGATGTTTTGTTTGTCGTGTTTTTTGTGCTAAAATTGGCAAGAAAGAATATGGTTTAGTTTAGATTTTATCATGTGTATTTCAATTCAGATTTATTATAATAAAGCCTTGACGCATTTTGATCATTAATTTATCTATTCATGTATCGTAATTATTCAATTTAGACTATATATGTATATTAATTATAATTGTGCATCACACTGATTGATTCTAATTATAGTTGTATGGATATATATATATCGACGGATTATAAACCTCAGGTGACATGAGCTAATCTTCTTATCTACACAGGCATAAACCTTGTTTCTTTTATCTCAAGGAAAAATGAAGCTTCTTTCTGGCTTAAACCTAAAGAAATGCGAGGAGACTTGGTGACTTCAATCTCATGATACGGACATATCGGGTACATAGCAAGTGCGGTCATATTATATAAAATTATTCCATGTGAATGTTCCAAGAAGTTTCACCAGCACAGCCCGACATTCCCAAGAAAACATTTATATACAAGGAAAAGGGTCTTTATTTTATGAGAAAAACAGTCTCGTTTCCCAATAAATCCCATTAAAGATGCGTGAAAATCTTAGAGGATACCGAAATCTGAATTGGAGGGATATGTAATAATAACCCTATCGATTCTTAATGATCTTCTTCCTTCTAAAGCTTAAATTAGGTGATTATGCAATAAGCCCCCCGTTTACTTGCACTAGATAATGGCATGCTTAGTGACGTAGATCATTTCAAGTGGCATGATCTTCTCCATGTTCCAAGAACAAGTGCGTAACCTAAAATTATTATGTATATAAATACGTAAATGATCGTAAAGTAATATAAAATATGAGAGTACATAAATTTATCCCTCAAACCCTAAAAAATAAAGGACTTTTTTTACTATAGTAGGTAATAGTGATATATTTAAAAATATTTTTTTAGATGAGCATGCATACACTAATATTATACTTTTATTTCAAGATGCGTACTATAAATACAATAAGTAAATAATCGAAAAAAAATTAATTTCAAGGAAAGACACGAACCTATCCTTAATTACCTTTGCATCTGCCACTATTCGTTGACAAATTATGAAAAAATATATAAGAGTACAGTAAACCCTAGAAACATATGTATACGATTGTATGGACATGGTAATCGTAGTTTAATAAAAATATACAATAATTTATTTCTCTTAATTTATTTCTTCACCAAACTAGTCACGTCTCAAAACTTTCAGATTGGATTAAATAGAATTTATATCCTAAACTCTAATACTAACTAACAGGGATGGATAAGGGAATCGAACTCAACGGGGTTTGATTTGATTCGATTCAATTAAAATGGAGTTTTTTTTTTTGAAAAATCAGTTTCAGGTTTTTTAGAGAATATGTTCGAATCGGGTTCAGGTTTAGGGTGAAAAATACTCTACCCAACTCAACCTGAAGAATAATTTAAATTTAACTCATATATTTAAGATAATTGCAATAATAACCGTCTCTATATATATACATACATTATTTTTTTCAATTAAATCCCTATTTTTATTGAATACAAATAATATTTTTTTAATACATTTATTTTGGGCAGAGTTTTATCTCAAAAAGTCAAGTCGGGTGAAATCATCCCTAAACTTGAATCGAGTCTAACTTCGAATGAAATACATATTTTTTAATCGGGTTAATAAAAAATCTAACCCTACCCGACCTGCTCATGCCATTCTATCTAACGAACAATATTATTTAAAATCAAATCACATATTGTAATACAAATCGATGCCTAATGGAAAGAAACAATTTGGCAATTTGGTAGTTAACACATGGAATTTGGAAGTTGGGGATCAGTCTAATGATGAGCCATGTGAATTGGGTCTTCAATCAACTCCTCTAAGTTCTCTCGTATATATTATCCTTATGTGCATGACACTGATTCTTCATCTTACATATATAAAAACACCCATGTTCGACTCCTACGGCACTGAGACCTTTAGTACATGTACT